GCTCGAACTCCGGGTCCGTCCAGCAGTTCTTTTGGCAGTGGAAGTAGAGCAGATTCACAGCCGAGCCGATCTGACTCTGTTTCAGAGACAGAAGGGAGATGGGGGACAGCGGGGTGCCGGGGAACAGAGGGAACACACTCCTCTCTGTGTCCTCTATACACACACACACACACACACACACACACACACACACACACACACACAGCCATAAAAAGGGGCCAAACTGCTCATCATCTAATCTAATGCTCATTTACACACAGTCACACACCAATAGCTGTGCCTTCGGGAGCTATTTATGGGTTTAGTATCTTGCCCACACTTTTACTTTTTGACTTACAAGAGATATCGTTATAATATTGTTATTGTGAATTATCTTGGTCATGTAGTGACATCTGATATCTGGACAGCCAAAGCAGTTTTTTCCAGAACTGACAGGATTTTAGTTGGTCACCAGTGAATTTGCTGCAGAAATATAGCACCAAGTTAAGAACGTTTTTTCTGTTCGGCAGGAAAATGTAAATGTTTGTTTTCTATTACTGATAACAGATCAAAATGATAAAAGGGTCAGTCCTCCACCCACCTGTCCATTGGGTTCCTCCGGCTCCTCCCAGCGGACCATCACAGTGTTCTGCGATATAATGTGTGCCTGGACGTTTCGGGGCGGGCTGGCCGGGGCTTGCTCCCCTGTGCGGGCATCCACACGAGTAGAGGAGGGGCCCTGGCCGATGCTATTGAAGGCAGACACTCTGATTTCATACTCAGTGTTGGGGTAGAGTCCCCCGATGCTGTAGCGGGTGGTGGTGATGCTGTCCACCGTCTCGTACTTGCTGTCCGGCCCCTTGGCTCGGTACTGGATGATGTAGTAGGAGACGGGGTCTGGGTTCCCAGAGTCCCAGGTGATGGTCACACTTGTGGCGGTGGTCTCTGTGACTATGGGGGTACCAGGAGGCTTTGGCAAAGCTGGGGATTAGAGAGAGGCAAGAGGAAGATAATTACACGACTTACTATGAACCCTGTATTGTTTTTTGTCCATTTGTACATTGTTCTGTTTATTTGTAAATATCTCAGTGATATCTCAGCCTACTTTTCTGTACTTTATAAATATAAATGTAATGCCAAATATGCATATGTATCTATGATACTAGACTGCATTTTGTTGAACAAGTACTCACTGTGTGACAAAGTTACATTTAGTATAATCTGAAATAACTTTTTGAGAATAAACTATTGACATGAGAACAGCGCTATCCTCAACTATACTGGTTCTTCGTAGACTAACAATCAACAGTTTTGTCGACTAACTTATTCGTTGATATTATCAAATTCGTAAAACTTAGTTTGTCCACAAAAATCCTGCAAAAAGCACCACTGAAATCACACATGTGTACGAATGTATTATGAACAAATGAACTGAGGTATCTTATAAGACCAAAGCAACCAATGACCAAACTAATTGTGTAAGAGAGTAGGTATATTTTCGTTCAATGATAGTATACTAAATGCCCTCATAATAATAGGGTTGCCTTAATTATATTTAATATGAAAAATTGTTCATGAAATTACGGCGCAGATTAGCTTGGCAGAAGTGATATTGACATGCACACATCTTAAAAACATACTGTTTATCAAATAAAAAGTGTCTCTTTTACACAACAAAACAAAAACTGAGGCAGCTTTCTCTCTCTGAGGGCCGACATGATTAATTGTGTCACTGGAGCGGCTCTTACTCTTCACTAAGACCTGAGCGGTGGCCTCGATGATACCCAGGCTGCTCATGGCCACACAGGTGTAGTTTGCAGACTCTCGGACTCCGTTGAGCTCCAGCACATTGCGTCCGATGGGCATCTCGTCCTCCGTGGTCAGGTCCTCGGTGCCCAGCATCCACTTGACGTAGGGCATGGGCGAACCCACGGCCACACAGGTGATGTTGACGCTCCCTCCTGGCATGATCTCATGGTTGGAGGGGAGGATGGAGAAACGAGGGGGCACACGGCGCACTGGGAAAGGAGGAGAGTCGGGGTAGAAAAGGAAGGGGGGGGGGGGTTTGGGTTCAAGAAAAGTGGGGAAGGGAGTGAGGAGAAGAAAGGCAGAGAAAAAGAAGGAGGGGGGAGGGGGAGTGAGGGAGAGAGAATCAGAGAGAAAAAAGAGAGCCAGGCAGAAAGCAAGATGGAGATTGAGAGAGAAAGTGAGGGCCAGAAAGATAAAAAGAGAGAGGAAAGAGAGGAGAGGTAACAGGAAGGGGGAGAATGAACTTCAGGGTTTTTACAGAAAATTACAAAGGGATATTTCAAGTTTAGTCCCAATTACTTTATGGTACTGATGATTCAAACAGAAAGACACAAATCTAGTGTTGAGCTCGACCATTCAGTGAGCTGCCTAACAAATAATATAGTGACAAACTCTTGAGTATCAATTCAACCAGGACATGACACCTATAGTCAGTTTCTCATAAAATAAATGGTTTTCTTATTGGTTATCATTTAGTTAGGCAGAAAAGTAAAACTTTCTGATTCAAGTTTTTCAGTATATGTTTGTATTACCATTAAAAATCCTCCTCCAAGCAGTGACTAAACCAGTTAAACTTCACCAGAAATGTCAGTGAAAAACTTCACTTCATTGAGATTTCTGTGCCTCGAGGTGCTTGTGAATTATATGGGCTCTTTTTAAAGAGTATATGCATCATGGGGGCCGATCAATAGGCCCTGCCAGCTATTTGTGTGCCCATAAGAAGAACAACTAAAGGGCCAAGTTATATCCAATACTGCATCTGCCGGAGCTTGGTTGACTATATATTAGGGAGAAATGTATCGAGAGACTGAACTCATAGGTCACTTGCATGCCTGGGCGACTCAAGAGGGATAAAATGGTGGAGAAACACAAAGAAGAGAACGAAGAACTGTAGACTGAGAGGAGAGAAAAGCCAGACAAGAGCAGGAGAGACAGACAGAGGGATAGAATAAGTACAGATAGAGAGAAAGAAAGATAGAGACAGAAAGAAAGAGGCAGCTCTGCTTCTCTTCCAGACAATGACAGGCAATGTAGCAAAAGACAGCCACATTGTACAACAAGATACTGTACAATACATAGGATTCATAACTGATACAGTGTGTAATCAAATGAATTGGAAATGTGGACAGGAGTGGTTTAAGGGGTTCTAAAAGGGTGTTGTGGCAATTACAGAGTGATCATTGGCAACACTTAGTAAAGAACACCAAGACAGCATGAAGAGGCAGAACAGGAAAGAACGAGTGCGAGCAAAAAGAGAGATATGTGAGGTAGTATGTGCATGTTTATAAGTTAATAAACTTATGTACATGTGTCTGTAGCTCCTACACATCAGGGTGCAGACAGAATGCAGAGGAAGAAGAGAAAAAAAGGGGGAGGAAAAGGGAGGGAAAAAGACAGGGAAGTGGAGATAAAGAGAGGGTTAGAAGAGGGTTTTAGGGGAAGGAGGGAAAAAGGGGGAAGAAGAGAGGAGCGAGAAGAAGAAAACACATGGATCTATTTAAAAACAGCTATATACCAGAGTCAGGCCCATTCAGAAAGTAAGGTGCTTCAAAAGTAAGAGAAAAAAGACCAGAGAGAGATCGGATGTTTAGAGAACAGAGGAAGAAAAACCCCAGGGTCACAACACAGGAAATAGAAAGAGACAGAGAGAGTAACGGACAAACATCTCTGCACGAGAGAAAGAATGAAAGGGAAGGCAAACAGAGAGCAGAAAACAGTCCAAAAACTAAACTCAACACTGCAAAGCTTTTACGTATAATAAAGCATAAAACAACAAATGTTCCAGTACAAATAAGTTACTCTAAAAAACCCTAGAATACCAAAACAAGAGTTGTTTTTTTATTACTTGAAAATCCAGTAGTAATTCTAAAATATATAATATAATAAATTAAAATAAATAATGTAAAAAAAAAGAAAGAAAAAAGGGTACATCTGCTGCATAACCTCCACTCCTAAATCTGTAACATCATTACTTGGAATCTTCATGGGCCACTCCCCCCTACTCAAAGAATCTAGAGACAATTGGATAGAAGTTAACATGTTTTGCATGATTTCAACAAATTGCTAAAGAAACAAAACTTAAATAATCGCAAGATACCCAGAATTGGATACAGAAGTTGAAGACAAGAAAGAGACAAAGAGACAAAAACAGTTAGATCTGTTAGAAAACAGACATGATTAGGCAGGCATCTCCTCATCTGAGCATGCTGTTCAGACAGACAGACAGATAGACATACAGACATACAGACAGACAGGCAGACAGGCAGGAAGACACACACGCGCACACACGCACACACACACACACACACACACACACACACACACACAGTTTTAGCTAGCACTCCATGACTGTCCTCGGCACATTCAGCCACATTTCCATAAGAAACAATTACATAATGTGAGCTGAGACAGAAAGTATGAGTTCACTAAAAAGTCACTCGGCTGCTTTTTCTGAGAACTCCACAAAAGTGAGTAACTGGAATCATTCATGATAATAACAGGACATACTCGAGCTCCGCTCATGGGGGAATAAAAGTGGGATAAAGTGGAACAATATTAACATGAGTCCACGAGTGGCGAGTCATTTTATATCATACGGAACGTTCCATTTTACTGATGCATCTTCACTATACTGCTGTTGTGTTAAAAAGACTTAGGCCATTTTCCAGCATTACATGAAATGTATTATTCATTCCTACAAAAGCTAAAAGCTTTGTAGTTATGACTAAAACTAAGCATTTTACAGGATAAACCGGAGTGAAAACTCAAATGTAGTAACCTTTTTTCCTGTATTTTAATATTGGTGATTGGTTCAGTTTGACCATCATTAGCTTCAGTGCTAATGATGGTCTAATTAAATACAGTACATTGGAATTAAATACTTTATTATACAATAAGTGTAATTTATTACAGTGTACAACATTTAATTTTATATTTAGTTTTCATTTTCATCTAACTCTGTTTTACATGTATATATAGTTGACTTATTTCTGCGTTTGACTTCCATTAACCTGCAATATTTTTATTTCATAATTATGTCTCAAGCATATTGCATGTTGCATTGTTGAAAACCATGATCAAAAACACACTTATTTATGGGTGAGATCATTATGCATGAGTTGAGAAGATGATCAAAGCAAGGTAGTATTCGGTAGGTGGGATTGACAAAAACAGTTCCTGCATTTTGACTGCACCTGAAGGCATCAAAATTCAACAACATTATTTTTCAAATTCAATTAATTTCCCTTATGTGCTATCTTTACCCTGCTGTGCATTTGTTTTGCAATCCTGTATGCTTCCCCTCTTTTTAAAAGAGGTGGACAAATGGCAACAGGTGATCGAGTTGGTCTCTATGGCAACAGAGAGCTCTAGTGCCAGCATCTCTTGGAGTGTTTTTGGGAGGCCTATGTGTCTTTGGCCTTCAGGAGGGAAAAGTGCAGCGGCTGATGAACACAGCAATCAAATCGGCAGGTGTGTGTTTGTCTAGACAGAAACAAATTACAGGTGCAGGGATGATATATCGGAAAATGATAAAGTAGAGGTTTAGGGAAACAGAGTGTCAAGCCAGATTTTCTGAAAACAACTTATTTCAGGAATAGACTGGAAAATATAACATTAATTAAACTGATGTGAATATCGACATGCTGAAGGATCACAATGCAGAAGAAGAATTTTGCTCAACTGAGGCAGAACGCTCTCATTCTCCTGTCCTTCCCTCCAAACAATCATCATGGTGCGTTCACACCGGACGCAATGTGAAGATACTTTCTGTACTCCAACACAACAAACTGTGACAGCAGCAGCAGCACAATTTTAGTGCTGTAAACGGCCAAAACACCTTGTTTTTTATCAAAGAGAAAAGCCATTATGAATGAGTGAAAGTGAATGACCTGGCATGAATGACGCGATTCAAGTCCCCTTATGTTGTCATAACCTTACTCACATTCATCTACTACACAGTATATTCCATTCCTCAGCCTATAGCTCACTCTGCAGCTCTGCCTACTGACTGTCCTCCATATATGTGTGTGTGTGTGTGTGTGTGTGTGTGTGTGTGTGTGTGTGTGTGTGTGTGTGTGTGTGTGTGTGTGTGTGTGTGTGTGTGTGTGTGTGTGTGCGCGCGCACGTGTGTATTTCTTACCTGGGCATCCAAAGCAAACTAAACAAACTAAATTTAAGCTCTAAGTAAAATCATTCTGAAAGTACTCTTAATATTATCCACAGTAACTCATCACCGTCCTTCTATCTAAGAACGTCTAACAATCCGATTGTGAAACAGCTGCCGCATCACTCTGCATACCTTTATTGCGTAAGTAGTATTTAAACACACACACACGAGTAGTGGCATGCAGTAGCTCAGCCCAGAAACTTGGTATTTAGATATAGTGTGCACCAGCCACCATAATGTATGGGATTGTTGTTTAACCAATGAAGACAAGTGTGGCTCAATATCACCCACATGACACATTTTACTCTAAAGGATCAATCAGTATCCAACTATGTCATTATCATTACTGAATTATAAATGATAACTGATTAATCTATTCAGAGTATTGATTGACTGACTGGAGCATGTATGTGTTACGTCATCACTTCCTCAAGTTGAACACTGAGAGGAAGAACCCTCCTCCCACCACCCCCCCACCAGAGTGAGTGGGAAAGAAAGAGATCTGACTTGAGCTTATATTCAATGTATCTAAACATTTGATCTATTTATAGAAAAGGAATACTTGAAATGCATCTCTGTTGGGTTGTCAAGTGGTCTGATATGCATACAGTAGCTGAGTCTTAATTCCTCAATACATATGAATTCTAAGCAGGTTTAACAATTACATAGTGTATATACTGGGAAAGCGAGTATAGACCGTATAATAACCAGATCTGCATGATGTTGTGCTCGTTCTGTTGCAATGGTACAATGTATGCACAAAGAAAAATGGATAAGCTGCCCACAGCTGCAAAGTATAAGACAGTCCGCTTTGGACAAAGCTGCAGGAATATTTTAGACTATTTACAGT